CAAAATGTAACATAAATAGGGTATAATTTTTATAGCTAAACGTTTTTATTTAGACAACGGTTTATTTTAAAAATAACAAACATGTAAATATAAAATTATGAAGAAAAAAAACCTATAAAAATTTAGGTCTACAATTTTTTATGCCGAGGGTTTTCTGCCTTTGGCACTTTAATGTAGTTATTAATAAGTTGAAACCATTAGAAATTGCTTAAAATAACATAGTCTATATTATCCGAATTTTATGAGAAATAAAAAATGTTAATAACGAAAGTGAATCTGTTTTATTGAATCTGCTTCTATTCTAGATTGTCTTTGTCTACACTGGTAGCTGCTTTCTCTATTTACATTCTGTGAACAGTATTCAGTATTTTCAACTAATTTAGTTCACTTATACACCTGGTAAAAATAAAATAATTTTAAACTGTAGTTAACTTTCGAGTAGTATTTAAAACCAGCAATTAAGTTTTATTTAGACTGCTTATCCCAGTAATTCTAGTCACCTATGCGAAACAATATAACATCCACATGCCTACATAGTATCAACAATGGTAAAATAATGGGAATGAAACAAAAGGTTTTCGGAGAAAAGAAGAACGAACATAAATCACAGATCGTGAATAATCGGCTATTTAAACAAAATTTGAGTTAAGTGATTTTTTTCTTCACGAAAAATATCGCAATTGGAACTAAAGACGTGTTTTACGTTAGCGTAAAGGTAATAATAATAACTTACGCGTTCAGTTTTAAACAAAGTTACAGTTTTATTAGGTTTCTGCAAATATCATATATTTTCATATTCCAATTCAGCGAATTTAAAAACGTAATCAAACTAAAATATGTATTTCTATTTGAGTACGACTGCTGAAAGTTTATTACTAATTTTTATTTCACTTGAAAAAACAAATAATAATAAGATAAAGGTGATGAATTGCTGCAAGCAAATTAAAATGATACTGTTTAGAGAACCATTTGTAACGGTTTGTCTAATTTTCACGAGTTGCCTGTGTATACAATCGCGTAATATGATGAATGAAGCGATTTATAATAAGTTAGTAGAAGAATTCATTCCAAATTATGACAAATTAACTTTAACATTTTTCCTTTTAAGATTTAAACCAGTTGAACTAAAAAGTTATCTATTAATTCACGTCAGCACATTCGCATTGGTGGTTCTACTACTTTTTCTAAGAAGCAATTTACAAGTGAAGTGTTTCTGATGGGATAATAAATGTATGACAATCTTGCAAGACCATTCAATTTAATAGTTCGTGTGAATTCAGAACATACTTTTGTTACTCAAATTATTATATTACTCATTAGCGTCTGTAGATTGGTAGAAGAAGAACATAAGTAAATACATTTGAATTAAAATAAAAAATGTTTCCTGAAATATTTTAATATCTGTCACAGAAAATGATAAGAAACAGAAATATCACTACTATGGAAAAACAACTGATAAACTTATTTACTTTTTATTTTTAATCGGTGTGTGAATTAGTGCATACATTTATTAGAAAATGCCTTAATACTTTTATATTGAATATGCTGATACGATATCTTACATGGGAAAACCGCAGACGACTTCTAAATCGTAGGTACAGATAAAGGTTTTTTGTAGCTTCAATAAATAAGGACCATGCTGACTAAGACCATGAGAATGCATTAAAAGTACTGCCTCGCAGAAAGGATCAACAAATATCGCACGCTTTTGATGATGCATCAACATACATTGTTTCTCAAAAAACTATTAACATAGTGATGTCACGTGGTTATATACATGCATTTCACTTCCCGTCTAAGAATCCTGACCTAAGAAACCTGTCTAATGCTCCTCGATTACCAAAGTCAAACTGAATTTAGTAGAACAACGGAATAAATAATTAATAACGAACATAATTTTGTTTCAAAAATACCATGGTTAGATGAGACCATGGTTACTCGTAACAAATTTAGGAAATCTTCACGTTTGGTCTCAGGAAGATCCCCAAAACTACAAAAATTTATAATTTTTAGCATGAATTTCGTATAAATATGTGGTTAAGATTCATTGAAACCATTTGTGCAGACCATTTATTTTCCCAAGAAACTGAATTCAACAGAATTTGTACGCTTTATTAATCAGAAATTCATCACTTCCCTACTACGGAATTATTGGACTAAATCGGATTGGGTTTTCCTTACTTCAAGCGTCGGCATCGGCTGAGTGATCACTTTGCGGAAAGTTGAATATGAAAAGAAGGGGTAATTTTATGATCACTACACTTACCCGATCTAACACCCTTTTATTTATCAATTTGGGGCTGGATGAATCGAAAAAGTTTCTGAATTTCCCATTACCATTGCGGAACAATTAACTGAACGAATTAGAGAAGCTGCAGGTGAAATAAAAAATAGTATATATCAGTTGAGGTAGATTCAAAACCAAATTAATTTGCTCATTGAAGAGGACATAATTGAAAATGACGGGCACTTTGGACAGTTATTTCGTTAATTTTTCTATGAATTTGTGTTGTGTAATTTTAGTTTTTTAGTTTTTGTTTAATAAATGCAGTGGAGTAGTAGACCAGCTACTATAAGTTATAATAATATAACAATAAAAAATCGAAATTACAGTGAAACTGTGCCAGTTACCCATTAAAAAAAAAATCAAGAAACATTTTTTAAAAGCTTTATAGAAAAATATGCACTACTTATACCTAGCGAAGAGTCATACAAGTTTTTTATTAATTAAATTCATAACCCATGTCTCCATCACTGGTTGCTTAGGGAATTTGATATTGCCGCATATTATCGCGACCCATCCAAGTAAAGTTCTTCCGAAGTCAGTTGAATATGCAAAAAAACGTCTGGTAATAAAATTTAATGAGTTTCATAGGCGCCTCTAAAAAAATTTTCTGCTAAAAGTAAAAAATTATAGTAATTTGTATACAGGGTGATTCAGAACTTATCCAAAAAAAATTCTGGATGTACAGGGGACCCTTACAAATACAATTTTTTTAAGAAAAAATCAAAAAGGTCAGTTCGAAATTGATTTAAAAATACACTTCTGCACGGCACTGGAAACTGGTCCACTGTAAAACCTGACCTCGCACAATGCGACCGGTATGGCGGCGTGATAAAAACGGACAAAAACTTTCGCAAGGAAAGAAATATGTAAATAGAATTTTATCGCACCTATTTTATATCGGCAAATTCAAATGCTTTTGCCTTTATTAATTATTAATAAAATTAATTTGTGTTTTTAAATAATAAAATCATTTGACATACCCGATGCTGCAACAGCAATTGTTCAAAATTTTATCCACTCACGTGTAAACACATTTGGGTCCGTCTTACTCACTTTCTACGAACTAACACAAATGATGTCTTGCTTCACCATAACACAAATACTTCACCATAATACAAATGTTGTCTTGCTTCACCATAAATTAAAACGATATCCATCAACTCTGAGTTGCTATACACGCAAGCCATTTTTGACACTAACTACTAAAAAACTGATGTAAATACCACAGATAACAGGTAAAAACTACCGCAACGACGGATTTCAGTATTAGGAGTCACATGGCTCTCCACGCGTATTGCGAATGACGCTAGAGACTACAGTTGTCCAGCTATGTAGTGGTTTAATGTGCTATAACTTCAATAATTTTTTTCTCAGAAACTATAAGGATTTTACAAAAATTATTTTTACAATATTGACTCCATTTCTCATGCCGCATCTATTCCCAAATTTTTTTGGATAAGTTGTGAATCACCCTGTATAATATGTAGAAAATTTCTATTATATGTTCGTTTGGCCATCAACATATTTTAATTATTTATGTCCTCAAACAATTTTATTATTGGTGGTAAATTTCGTTCCGTTTCAAAAGGTTTCCAAAATGTCATGTTGTGATAATATTAGTAAACAAAATATCCCTCTTATCTCTTTCTTTCGCAATTGCAATATGAATGATTGATAAAAGGTGCCTATAATAAATTAAAATTGCCTGATTCACACCAAATTCCCCACTGCTGCACTGCACTGCTGGGCAAATTATGAACCACTTGTCGTCTGCTGTGATTTATTGCCCAGTAGCCCAATACAACTGTAATCGTTTTCTTTTACCCGCGCTCGCATTCTTCAACTGAGCGTATACATTTCTATTATTTCCACGTTTAGTTCGACCAGATCTGTTTATCGGTATGGCTAAATAAATATGAAAACACGTTTTTCAAATATTTCAATGCCAAGTTGCTGCGTAGCGACCGAGTCTGCTACATGGCTTAAAATTATTGGTTCTTCAATTGACTATGAAAAACTATACAATGTGTATCAAATTTTTTTTGAACAGTTCCTTCAGTTCTGAACGTCGATAATTGTCTTGTTATAACGGAATTTTTAAAACGCCTGCATAGGTAGATTATAGCTAATAACGCCAGCTAAATCATGTATAAGTCCGTTAAATAGTAGGGGTCTAAGATTTGACCCTTGAGGACACCTGAAGATAACAATTTGATGTAAAACCATTTTATATTACGTATTGCAATTTCAGATAAACAACTATCAAGGAAATGAAACCAAATATCTACAGTTTTTTTAATAAAACTTCATAATGTATTAAAAAAAACGCCTTAGAAACTGTGGATCAGTGATTTAAATTCTAACTAAAATTGGGAAATAAAATGTCCAACGAATGGAAATATGCTACTATACACAGTTTGATGTTATTATTTTAGGTCTATAATTGTAAATACATATTGGATTTATCTGCATATTTTAATACCTGATATTGCCTTACAATTTTTTTAAATAATGATATTGTGGAAAGCAATTACTTTGCGGGCTACATGCCCCCCCAGTATTAAATTTCACACGCAATATCTCGTAATACATCTAAGATTATTTGTTAACTAAATTACCATATACAGACCAGTTTCAAACTTATTAGTACTCGTCACTTTGCCATAGGTGAGATGACTGACAGACGATTTCGCTATTTGGATGTCTCTTGAATATGGGTGAGATATAACCTATAGCATATAAAATATAATACGAGGTACGTCCAGAAAGTAAGTTCCGTTTGGTAATAAAATTAAATTGTGTACAGATACAGAAAAATTATTTATTGCACAAAATTCTACAACTCTTAAACTACTTTTCCACATAACTGCCGAAATTTTGCAGGCATTTGTCATAGCGTGGCACAAGTTTTTGTATACCTTCTTCATAGAAGTTTGCCGCCTGTGTCTTCAACCAGTTGTAAGTTCCGCTGCAGCGCTGCGATCGCAGTTCCGCATATGCGCGGTAGACGCTCTGTATCAAGGAGAAGAAACGTGCGCCATTTGGAGATCGCTGTCAGCCACGTACGCTTTGTTGTGCATGTTTACAATGTCGGTGTTGATTGAAAATCCCGCCGCTTGTGAAATCAGATCTGTGATTCGTTTTCTGAATGCTAGGAAAGTGAAACCAATTGAAATTTATCGGCAAATTTGCGAAGTTTATGGACAAAATGCGATGAGTGATTCAATGGTGAGAAGATGGGTCCGACAGTTCAATGAAGGACGTAGTGAAGTGCACGATGAAGAACGAAGTGGGCGTCCATCTTTGGTTACAGAAGAACTGGTTCACGCGATTGATGACAAGATCCGGGAAAACCGCAGGTTTACAATTAGTGCTCTCGCTATGGAATTTCCCCAAATCTCACGATCACTAATTCATGAAATTGTTACCGAAAAACTGAAATTTCGTAAACTTTGCCGACGTTGGGTACCAAAGATTCTTACTGAGCAACACAAAACAAAACGGATGGGTAGTGCACTTCAGTTTTTGACCCGTTATGATGAAGGCGGCGAAGAATTTCTGACACAGATAGTCACAGGAGATGAAACTTGGGTTTCTTACGACACCCCTGAAAGTAAGCGGCAATCAATGGAATGGAGGCACACTTCATCCCCAGCAAAGGTTAAGCCGAAACAAATCTTGACACCTCGGAAAATGATGTGCACAGTGTTCTGGGACTGGAAAGGCATCTTACTCATTGATTTCTTACCGCGTGGTCAAACAATCAAAGCAGATGCTTACTGCGAGACACTTAGGAAATTGCGCCGCGCAATACAGAATAAGCGCCGAGGATTGCTGTCAAAAGGTGTTGTTTTTCTTCACGACAACGCACGACCACACACTGCAAATGTGACGAAAAACCTCCTACAGGGATTTGGCTGGGACGTGTTTGACCATCCTCCATACAGCCCTGACCTCGCTCCTAGCGACTTTCATCTGTTCTTACATCTCAAGTCTTTCCTTGGCGGTCAACACTTCAACAATGACGAAGAGCTGAAAGAAAATGTTTCCAACTGGTTGAAGACACAGGCGGCAAACTTGTATGAAGAAGGTATACAAAAACTTGTGTCACGCTATGACAAATGCCTGCAAAATTTCGGCAGTTATGTGGAAAAGTAGTTTAAGAGTTGTAGAATTTTGTACAATAAATAATTTTTCTGTATCTGTACACAATTTAATTTTATTACCAAACGGAACTTACTTTCTGGACGTACCTCGTATATACTCTCTAACTTATATTTCACGCATACCCTTGCTAGCCTCCGACAATCTAAAATCTCATTTATATAAGAAATTTGCAGTAGCTTTGGTTCGAGTGACGCGTGCATCGAGAAAAATAGTAATTTAATGGCTCGTAACTGGTGACTATAAATCCTGAGTCTATGCAGACGATCCTCCGTCACCTTCACGTCCATCGGTTTGCTTCAGGAACGTGGGAGGCACTAAAACCGTTTTATAGAACAATACAAAAATTGTTAGAATTATAAACGCGAAAGCGATTAAATCAAATTGGTACGCTGTTAAACTGAGAGTTATGAACGCCGATAAATCATAAACAAATTGTTATTCCCGCTATTTCGAGCGAGTACGTAACGGACATAAATGCAATTGAAGGTGTAATAATTGTCAACCGGGCGTGCTGGTCGGCCTAAAAGTGGATTCTCGCCAGTGGCATGGTTTTTTCACCGGTCTATAAATGCAACACTCCGGCCTATTTTTAGCCAAAAATTTGATACCCGTGCAGGTTAGCAGCGTATTTCCAGGAGGCTAATTCTATGTATGTTGGCCATCTAACGGAGCGTGCCACTGAAAACAGAAATAATTTCGCAGCTGAAAGTCTCGTTTCAGGAGTGGATGTTACATGATATATTTCCCAGTGTTTCAGCGCCGCCTTTCCTAACGATTTTCTTGAAACACTATGTATATATTTTTTTATAAATACTTTTGAATACTACAGGAAAATCTGACAACATGAAATTCCACTTGTAGTCCAGTCAAAATAGACATTTCAATTTACAATAATTCGCACAGAGCTGAAAATTGGTACAAGTCTTAAATTTACGATTACAAATAATATATCAAAAATCCCCACCAATCCTACTTCTGCTAAAACAATTATTCGAGGTCAAAAGTAAAAAATATCGTTTTTTTTTTCGTCGTATTCTATATAATATACACACATTTCCACACCCCCTGTGAGATAGTGTCTATGGCGCCTTTTTTTTACCTGGTTTCCCCGGTAGACATATTTCAGGATTCAGTTTTAATGGAATTAGTATCCCATTAATTAAAAAAATGGTACTATTGGTGATGATTAAAGTAAAACAAATTAGTCTGATAATCTTCAAATGCCATGTAATGTCCTTCTCTTTCTTCTTCCTCTTCTTGCTGGATATTTGTAAATTGTTCTAAGAAAGATGCATCAGTTATCTCCTCATTGATATCATAAGAATCCTCTTATTGATTCAATATTGGACCAAGACTGGCCTTGACAATTGGTAAATACTGGTGAACAAAATAATCCTTTTTTACAGCTACAGTTTGTACTACAACCCTTTGACCTTTGACCTAGCATACATTTTTTAGCAGATGTAGGATCGGTGGAGATTTTTGATATTTTATTTGTAATAGTGTATTTATAGTCCAATTAAATCCCAATTTGCTCAACTTGTCTGAATTTTTTTATATAAGTTAGTTTGAGGTATATAATAACAATAGGTGACAGCCCCCGGCCAGGGGGGTGAAAAAAAGTTAAAATAAAGGAGTTTTTCAAGATAATTCAGAAGAAGTAAGAGCTAGAAAAAATATTTCTTATAAAAGTTGTAGAGCATAAAATTGTACATAAATATGGTCTATTGACTTTTCCTTGTACTATTAAAATGAACAGAGTTAGGGTGGCTAGAAGTTAAGGAAGTCTGCTCTAAGAAATGTAAACTTTCTTTTCAGAGAAATAGATATATTTTTAATAAAAAAAATATAACAATTTCAATTTTTTAATCGTTAACTTTTATGATTTAACACTAATACAATTTTTTTTCTATGCCATTCGATTGATTTTTTAAAATAATGAAAAGTTGCTTTCGAAATGTTGTTTTACGACAAAGATAAAAAAGTACGATCGCTTTGTGAAATTGTTATAACTTTCTGATTAAAAATTAAAAAATATATCTATTTCTCTGAAAAGATAGTTTACATTTTTTAGAGTAGATTGAAAAAAATATATATTAATTTATTTTTCTGCACGTTATGATTTTTTAAATATCTGAAATCATCCCTTAACTTCTAGTCTCCCTAACTCTGTTAATTTCAATAGTACAAGAAAAAGTCAATAGACCATTTTTATGTAGAATTTTATGCTCTACAACTTTTATAAGAAACTTTCTTTTCTAGCTTTTTCCCCTTTTGAATTATCTTGAAAAACCCCTATATTTTATCTGTTTTCACCCCTGACCAGGGGTTGAAAAAAAAATTACTGTCACTTATTGTTATTATATATCTCAAATTAAATTAGGCAAGTTGACCAAAATTGCGATTAAAGGCTCATTTAATTGGACTATTAAGACCTGTGGCAATTTTCAACTCTGCGAATTATTGCAAACTTACCACTTTTTTATATATTTTGACTGGACTATTGGATGTTAGTTAATAAATGAAGCGCAATATGACCATTACAATTTTTGCACCAGTTGACCACAGATGTAATCAACGTTTATATACACCACAGACACTATAGCTTCGCTGAAGCTATATTGTCTGTGATATGTATATCTACTATCTGTGAAGAAACATTTTTTTACGAATATATTTAAGTAGTTTATAAAATTGATATGAATTATATGTAAAGGCATGTACCAAGACTGATTTTTATGACTGCCAATACCAACTTTCTTTCTAGAATCTTATGAACAGCATTATTCAATATCATACGTTTTGTTGATTAGTCAATACTATTCAAACGATATTAATAATTTTGTGTTACAGATAAGAAAATTAATATTTATTCAGTGTATTCAAAAGTAGTATTTTCAGCAAGTTGATGATCCGAGAACAATTTGGTGCTGATGCCAATTTTATTATTTTGTTTTCATTTTATTTTTAGATTTGAAGCTAAGAGGATTATAGATATTACGATACCTTTTCCTGCACCGCAATATTTATTTCTATGAGATATTTGATCAGCTTCATTAATTGAACAAGATGTGTTAATGAAATGGTTCAATAAACATGTCCATTACAAATTTAAAATATTATTATAAACACGAAATAGAAATGAATATTTGCGTGGAAAAGTTAATATTGAAATTTAAAATTAGTTCCTTCCACAGACAGAGGTATATATTAAATTTTAGTTTGTATGCCAAACCAGTACATTCTGAAATGCGTTTTACTGGTATTTTAATTTTTCTGAAAAACTTCAAAAAATGTGGAAAATGTGGGATCATTATAGGGTACCTCAAAAAAATAGTGTTAACCGCAGATTACTTATGTACAAACTGTCGAAGTCAAACTACTTGAGTTTAAAAATCCTTCGTTTAAAATATGGTTTAAAAGTTATATACTGTTAAAGTCTTTCTTTTGAAACGATAGATGATTGCGAACCCAAAAGAAGAAAATAGTTATCCTTCTCCAAATAACAAAAAAGGTCTAATATAGATGTTAAAATTTAACACCTGGTAACTTCTATATTAATCAGTTTTAGATTAAGGTTATAGTTCATACGATATTTGTTGAGATAGAATTACAACCAGACCCCTGCACCACTTTCTTGAAATTAACACGCGAAGTAGAAAGACGTTGGCGGAAAATTTCAAGGCACGCCCCTGCAGTAAATTGTTACGGTGGATCTTGGAATTTTATTTCAACAAATACTGTACGTGTAAGTGGACTTAAATATATATTTCTTTTTATCTCAGGAATGGATATTTTCTGTATGACTACTGTTTTGTGGAATACCCTGCAGTTTTGTTTAATGCAGATGTACTTACAGAAATTATTATCTGGAAGAAAAGTATAACCATATAGGAAATTGAATTTTAAATTCAGTTTCTTGCCCTTAAACTCTATTGAAAATGGCGAACATAGCCAAAAAATTCGCAAAGTTGCAAAAAACGGTTTTTCTAAAATAATTTAAAAACTATAGCTCACATCGAAAAATTTTAAGTGAGAAAGTTGTAGGTTTTAACAAGATCTATCTACTGATTTTTTATAAGTATCGATTGCTTTGTTACTTTTCGAGATATATCGAAAAAACCGTTAAAAATCTTCTCTTTTCTCGTTTTCTATAACTCGTATACATTTACGTTACCATAATTGCTATTTACTGTAAGCATAGCCCGCGGTAAGCCAAAAAAGTACATTATTGAAAAATTTAAATATATTAATTATTTTTCGAGATCTAATGATTTTTTTTAAAAAAAGTATTCTCGAAAATTGGCTAGATATTCTCTAGAATGGCCCTGCAGCAACGATTTTGGTTTGTTTTCTTCGTAAAGAGTTATATTACCATGCTATTAAAAAAATTTGAGGATTTTATTAATTTTAAGTATAAAAAAAATGACTGAAAAAATCGCACTTTTTTTTGGTTACGTTTTTGTCAAATAACAAATTTTTACTTTATGACAACGACATTTATTGTAGAAAGAAATTGCTGACATTTTTCACGAATTAAAAAAAGTGTTTTTATATGACCTTCTGAAGCCTAGGTGACTTTTTTATTAAAATCTAGAAGACGCAATTAACATTTTGCAGCGATGCGCTTGATGGTTAATGTTGAATACTTACATTTTCAAGAAAAAAAAAATAGAATGTGGTTTACTGATTTTTAGTATTAATAATTTTAGTAATTAGTAATTAGGCAACAAATTAAAGTATTACACGAAAAATACTCTTGTAGTAATAAATAATAATTATTAAAATGACCATAAAAGTAAAGAAAAATGTACTTAAATGAAATAAAAAATAAATATTTCCTGAACTATTGTGCTTGTAAGGGGAAAATGACTATAATAATCTTTTTTATCTCGTCAAGTTTCCCCAGATTAAGTAGGAAAGGATTTTTGTACGTGGTCCAGAAGCCGGATTTTGCAAGCGCGAGCCATTTAGAATGCATGTCATTAGTTTCTAGACCGAGGGCGTGTCTGTACGCTTCACTTTATTACTGAATTACTAATACTAAAAATCAGTAAAACATATACTATTTTTTTTTGAAAATATAAGTATTCAATATTAACTTCCATCAAGAGCATCGCTGTAAAATGTTAATTGCACCCTCTAGATTCAAAAAAAAAGTTAGCTCGGCTCCATAAATTAATAAAAAAACATTTTTAAATCGTGAAAAAATGTCAGAAACTTCTTTCTATAAAAGTCGTAGCCATAAAGTAAAAATTTAGAGTTACTTGAAAAAACGTACCCAAAAAGGACAATTTTTTATCCTTAAAATTAATAAAATCGTTGAAATTTTTTAATAGCGTGGTAACACAACCCTTGTTTTATCGTAAACTTTTTACGAAGAAAATAAACTAAAAACCGTTACTATAGGATCATCCTCTGAAAAGATCTAGCTAATTTTCTAGTGCGTCTTCTCGAAAAATAATTAACATATTTACATAGATCTTATTAAAATCTACAACTTTCTCATTTAACAGTTTTCAACCAGAGCTATAGTTTTTTAGTTATTTAAGAAAATCCGTTTTCTACAATTTTTTAAATTTTTTTGACCGTTCGCAATTTTGGATCGAGTTTAAAGAAGAAGAAACTCAATCAAAAATGTAATTTTCTACATGGTTACATTTTTTTTATCCAGGTAATAATTTCTGCAAATTAGGCCGTCACAGATTGCTTGGACTAATGATTTTAAAGTGATATCCTGTGGAATGGGTTGATTTTTTTATTTAAATTAGTAAGTAAACTTCAGTGAATTACTAAATAAATAAAACAAAATTTAACTAAAATAAGTTGATTTAAGTAGTGCAAAATACATGAACCAAATTGCTTTTATTAATTTTTAATAAAAAGTACTGTAAATGTATCTATTTCAAATTGTAATCCAATATTTTGTGTTCATTCTCAAAATACCGTGTTGTGAAATCAAGTATGGACTGCCGATTCATAGATATAGAAATAATCCAGTTCTTCTTAATATAAATTATCTGTTTTAGAAATTCTGTTATGAACGTATATACCACAAGTTTGTGGATGTCTTCGAGTCGTTATAGGGGTGAGGGGGGGTAAGATTAATTCAAAATACAGGGAGTATTAATATTGGGGAGTTTATCACAACGTGAGAATAGCACTTAACCTGCTCATGCACACCAGGTGTGCATGCGGCAGACTTATCCTACGGAAAAAATATAAACAACTATTATTGTAAACATTTGAAACATTTAGTAAATTTCAAGATAATTGCTTCTCAATTTTCAAATAAATAAAATAAAATGTATCGATTTTGTAGTATGAAGATACTTTTGTGCTTAAATTTTAACTCGAATTTTGGTAATTCAAACTACAACATATGCTCAAAATGTCCACCACTATTTTCGATGCATACATGACAGCTTGAATCCAATTTTCGCGTACTCGCTGGAAAACACCTCAATAAAGGGAAGTAGTGGTACGCAAAAAAACACTCCGACACGGTCGATTCCAGATATCAACTGAATTAGTGAATTGCTTATTGGTGGTTGCTGGACACCTTAGTAATAAACCGCCGCGTCGTTGTCACATTGCTCGATATGAATTTTATAGAATTTTAAATTTATTACAACGCTAATTATTTTTTAGAAGTAAACACAAAAAAGTTCAAAAAGTGATAAACATTGTATTTTATACATACAAGGTTTTTTTTATTTATTTTAATGTATTCTATCGTCTGTTAAAATTAAGGCAGACAAACTTCTAACATCCTGTATAAGCTGTTGCCCATCAAATATTTAATTTTATTATAAAAATATATAATCCACAGGTATATGAATTTGTTGCAGTAAATAAGTCGATCATATGTTTATTTGTTAATACAAATAAGGTACCATTCAGTACGATTTTCTTACCAAGAAAAAAACATAAAAGTAAACTGTTCTTTTTATTTACGCTAATGTACGCTTATCTTTACATCCCTCATACGAAGACATAAATTGGAACTTTAAAATGAAAGTGTGAATTATTTTTTTTTATATATTTGCTTGTTTAGAGCTAAACGGGGAAATCAGTATATGACTAACCGAAACCTTGGATTTGCTTCCCCACTTGTGAAGTGACTAGACTGCTTATTTTTAGAATAAGTTTACGCAAAAGGCTTCAACACAATATTAAATTATTTTAAGATATAATGTTTAAATTTTGTCGATACAGTGTTGGTTCTATAATCTAATATTTATCTGTATTTTCTTAACTCTGTCTAGCTCACCACATATCTGTTGCCAAATGTGATATTTTTGTTTCCAAGTAGCTGCTCTCTTAAGTCTGTCGCGTCAGTTCTCACTAGTCCTCTGAGATACTGGACTCGGTTGACCGCGCAATTTACAAAAAAAACTGAAATTTCAGTATGGCAGTCCGAAATCAACCGCCTCCGAACATTTCGTCGCAGTAGAAGTGCAATAAATAATTTACTAGAGTATGTTTGATTGGTAGTGAAGCTTTAAGTTGTTTAAATTTATATTAGGCATAAAATCGTGTGACAGTAAACACTAAATAACACTAGTGATAAAATAAACTTGATCATCTACGTTACCTGTGAATTAACTATTTTAATTTTACATGTATAAATAGTTTAATAATTTATTAATAAAAACACATTTATTCTTCGCTCGCAGCACAACAACATTGGGAAATTTAAATTTTTTGAAACCTACGCTGAAGCATAGTGCCAAGGAGATTCAATTTTAGATTATGTTATGCTCTTAGCTGCTTATTGTTTCATAAAAAATAATTGTATTAGATACCTTTCACCAGCATTTTGTAAAACTACCAACTTTACTAAATTAGCAACCGCATCATGGAGTGCTGCGAACAGTTCAACAAATGATTCGTGAAATATTTGTCGTAGCCATAAAATTGCATTTAATATATCTAATATAATATGGCTGAACGGAAGGCTAAGTTGAAATCTTTAGGAAGAAGCACCAGTACTGAATCTACAGAGTACTCCATAACCATGGGTAAATCTGTAAGGAAAAAGAGCAAGAGGGTGAAGCCCAAGGAAAGATGGTTACTTACCAGAAAGACATGGCGGTATATGACGGATGCTGGAAAGAAGTTAATTCCGGATGGGGCTCAAAATCGTCCGGAAGATATTCCTAAGATTGAAGCCTATTTCCAAGAAGTGTGCAAGAAGGAACCAAGATTCCTACTGTGGCGGAAGAACTCTTATCCTGGTGCCTTAAGTTTTAAAAAGAAAAGAAAGGTCAGTAGAAAGGGTGGAAGCTGTCGAAAAGCTACTTCAGCGGATGAGGTGAGCTTGGGAAGACCTGAAAGACCTACTCATTTGGATATAAAACCAACTTCATTTGGTAAGTTTGATGTGAAGAAAATGAAGGAAGAATTTTTAAACAAAGACTCTCCATCAACGATGTTCTCTAGCTATGACAAGGAGAAGAGTGGTACTGAAAAACATCATGATGATCAAGAAGAAAGTCAGTTGGCCAATATGTTGGAACAATATTTAAGAATGTCTGACAAAGACCCTCAGGTAAGGTCACATCCAGATTTCAATTATCAAGACCTTGTGGAGAAACTCCAACGTCACTTGACTTTGTCAAATAGGGATTATGGAAGTAATTACACAGGATATATTCCTCGTCAAACGGTACATTTTCAAGGCGATCATGTACAGAAATCTTTGACTGATACACTTAGTAGGTACTTTGGACATTCAGGTAACAGAGACAAGATAATTTCCGATCTATTAACTAACAGAAAAGCTTTAGAAAAACTGTACTTTGAGCTACGCAAAGCTAAAGGTTTTAGGGGGAGCAGGGGAGGAACAGGTTATACTACCTCTTTTGCTTATGGACCTCAAAGAAGTAACTATGAAAATACTAGTAAAGACAGAAATACCGATTATGGTGTCACAATCCACCCACCACCGTTGATTGAGGTTCAAAGTGAGACTGTTGATATTATCTACCGTAGTTTGGGCACTCAAACTTTACCAATTCCTGAAGCAGTTTTGGTGAAAGTAGAAGAGGATTATAAGAAATCACAAGAAGAAAAAAGGGAGGAGGAAGAAGTAGTTAAAGAAATACCTAAACCAACACGTAGGCGAAGCAGTGTGGACAACGACGATATTTCCCAATCAGTGAGTGATACTATTAAAAGATATTTGAGAATGGCGCGTAAAAAAAGTGTGGATACAGACAAGGTAGACAGGTTTAAACGTGTAAATTACGACAGAAACTTAAGAAACATAAAAGCTAAAGGTGAAACTACTAAACCGGGCGACGACGACGGTTTAAACAAAGGGTGTCAAACTAACGATGACTGGATTCTAACTTATCGCGATCTAAAATTCGCTGATGTGTACGACGTTTCGGACTCGGAGAGCAGGTTTTCTAGTTCGCGGAGTAGCATTGACATTGGTATGGTGGATGGTGGTGCACTGTCAACTCCGTCATCACCACCCACCATTAAGAGTAGTCAGTCCTTCTTAAGCCATTTACTTCACGGCAAACATGAGAAACACGATAAACACGATAAATCTTCTGCAGCAGTGTCGACGGCTGGGGCGATGCAGAAGAGTAAGTCGTCCTCCAGTGTCATGCACCATGGCAGTCGACTCATGGCGAAGAAGATCTTCAGGTCCCGATCGAAGAGCCAGACAAGGTCAGCGCACGCTCCTTGCAATTGGACGCCTCAGGTAAGATATTTGGTGGTGCCAATTGTTTACTAGATTCTGTCATCTTATGTTCCATTTCCATTATTGAAATATATACACTTCTGGCCATTTTCGGGTTACATTGCAGGAAACTGAACAGTTATTTTTAGATTTATTAGAAGAAGAAGTGTATTAATACCACCTTGTTATTAGTTTTCACTACTACAATGTTTAACGCTATCATTAAGGATTGCTATCCATTTTTTCTGCCTCATTGTAAGGAGCTTTGTAATCAAGCTATGACGAGCACTATATTTACTCTTATAAGGTGATCATGATTCCTTTTCTTAGACATATGTAAAAAGTCCTTGGAATTAGAACTGCATCGTAAAAACGATTCTACATTGACTTAAAAGTTGTGTACAATTTTTTATAATATTGGGATTCATTAGAAACATTTCGGTGTTAATATAATTCATTTGTTCCACTATTAATTTACATTTACAACAAAAAAGTTCAACCATATTTCATTCTTGCGAATATATTTCCTAGAATACAAAGTGTGAAAAACATGTTTCAACGTGTAAATGATGATCACTGCCAATGGTTTCTGTTTTATATTGTGATATACAATGTCAAACAAGTTTTTTAAAATCGTATTCTGGCACAAATATTCAATATATTGTGCAGCTAGAAAGTTCCACAGAAAATCTTCACAAAAAAGGTGGCAAGAACATAACAGGAAGTTTTAATTTATACTCTAAATAACAATGCGGGTAGACCTAGAAATATGTGACTTAATATTAACTGAATTCACGAAATTCTGTAGAACTGTTGCTAGTTGAAGCTGCAAAAATAAATTTAATTCTGTTGTTACGATGAGACTATATTTACAACGTTCCAAGTATAAATGGTTCATTTACAACATTTCTTTAGAAATTCTCTTCCAGTTTTATATTCCTATTAATCATAAAACATAACGGATATATTTTATTAAAGTTTCATTGCATAATGAATGTCGCAAAGCAACTGTAGTTTCTGGAAAATAAGTTTGGGTTATCTGTATCTATATATAGACAACTAGCAAACAGCTGACTTAGTTGACTCTAGCAAGGTCTGTATTGTATACCTATAACTATACCATTATTATTTATTTCATAAGTTAGTTCACAAATTACATTACGAAATAGAGACCTACTTGCATGTGCCATAGTAGTATTTTAGTAAAAGAACAAATTTATTAAATGAAGAATCGATTGATAATGGTAGATTGAAATAATTATGAATATATGTTTTTACGAAAAATTTATTAATATTTGTAGAAAATGGTAAATAGGTTCGTGTACATCATTTCACTATTTTCATTATATCGCTACTAGCACGATATTTTTCATGTTTAGAATAAGGATGTGCTAGGAGTATTAAATTATTTTCATTATTTATGGATGCTTACGTCACTTTATGTTTGATATAAAAACGCGTGGGAGAATTTTTTAAGTGCATTTCGTCATTATATGCAAGCTTTTTATGTTATGAAATCATCTAGTCGAGTATTTTTTGTGCAAAGGTATTGAACTTTTTGTAAGGTTTCAATGAACATAAAATATTTGATTTAGTTTTTTGATTTGATTTTTGATTTAGTTTTCAACAGCTCTACGTCATATTTCAAACCATTACATATTCCTAATCTGCTTTATTTACTAATTAAGTGGTAATCTTAGTTCGATATGGATTTTGTATTATTCCTTTTAGTGTAGAAATCAAAAACATTTATGTATATGAATACGAATTAATTGTTATTTTGTATTATATATTCTCTATTTCATGGTACCAGAAAGGCGTTTCTTTCTTTGCATGAACATGTCTTTAAAAACAGTTATTTTTAACAGCATTGTTACTTTCATCATTTATCCTTCTATTCTTCAGTTTATAGTCATCAATGTCAAAATGAAACCAGAATTTTCTAAACAGTGTAATTAAGTTTTCTTAATCTTAGTTATGTTTAAACTGACCTACCCACTTCATTTTGCCTGTTTGGAGAATCTACTATTATCAATTCAACTCGATTTAAATTTTCCTAAGTGATACCATTATCGATAAATCAGCTACAAATATCTGTGTTTGGACTGTTTAAATACTTATTTTATCATTATCCGATAATTATTATCCTATATTAAGATTAATACAGGCTGTGTTTTACTAGAATTTTGAAAAAATCGATTTTCGGAAAAATTATATGGTACACTTATTGAAGATAAATGTCAACAAAAACTTTATAAGCGTTTCTCGAGAACCTCAAAACGTTTTCAACGAATAGACTTAAAATTTTATACAGAGCTTCACAATAACGTAACTCAGGGATCAATGTCGGATTTTTTCAATTTCATGGTTATTAAGAATATAATGTAACATTTTGGTCTTTTTTCAATTCTTAACTTTTGAATGTACACTAAATCAGCAATTATTAATATTTTTTAATTTCCTTACGATGTTCTTTAGATTATAATAAATAATATAAGAAAATTTGTATGTCTGTTTCAAGAAAATTTGAATTTTCCGAGAGTGTTACGCTACCCAATTTGGTTAGGACATAGCTATTACAATGCGAAACATCGACTTACTGTTAAAAATGTTGTCACCGCCGTTCTTGGTGGGGAAAATTCGAAATAACTGTTGAAGACATACATAGGTATTGAATTTTCGAAGCCAGATTTGGTCAGGACATAGCTAATACAATGCGAAACATCCCCTTACTGGTAAAACCGTTAATAAGCAACCTTTCCGGCTACACAGATCTCTGAAAGAAGGTGTTGTTGTTTGCCATCAGTCGCCATTTGGATCCAAATCGAAAAAAATCACAATACTATCTGAAAAGATGTGTAATATAGCCTTTTTGTTCCTGACATTATATATTTAGGTGAAATTTTTTCAATAACAATAAATATAAATATATGATTAGCCACACAAGTTTGTGAATATTGTCCATTGAATGATCCAGTTCGATTAGTTGAAAATCTTACTTGTTTTAAGCGTTTTGGGATAGTTTCAATTTTTACTTGTGGAGAAGGATTTTTTATCGATTTTTCCTTTTTAATTCCCGAAAATTATCTTTTTTCCAACCTCTAGCGTAGCTTTACCTATTAAAGCACAAGAGTTCTCTTATTGTTAGTATATTGGTAACTGATTAAAATTTAGTAGTAATAGTTTCCAAATGAAAATTGAAATAAAATGTTTCCATTTCCGTATGTCCTAAGGCCCTTTGCTAAATTTAATCAGTTACTTCAATCTTGTAATATATCAGTATTGACCGTTTGAAGAATATGGCACTTCATTAATGGTGCCTATTAAAAAATTTATTTCTCATTATCGGTGTCATTTAGGTTACATTTCTGTTTACTTCTTCATTGTCCCTGGCTGGTGTCCAATACAACATCAGATTCTGGATATCCCGCAACAGTTGGCTATCAGGAGCTTGGCAGTAATTTTCAATTTGGTATAAAAGCCAAATTTTATAAAAGGTTCCTGTGTTTGGGTTTAACTTTTGTTGGCTTAGGCTTTGTATGACCTTTATATAATTTAAATACCTCACAGTTTTGAATAAACAGGATGAATTTCTAAATTATATCAATATTTTGACAAAGCAATTTATGTAATTAGAGATAAAAATGTGTATCTAAAGTAAATTTTTGCACAAACTATTTTAAATACGAAGTTTCTGTTTTCCATAACTTTAGCTACAAATGCTTTAAACGTCATATTTTCTAGATTGTTGTTCTTCCAAAGCATCTCTCAAGTGCCAAAATAGTGGAGTCAAGAGAGATTTTGACTTATTATAAATTACTTAAAAAAAGAACTTTTTATTTTTCGCTTTGTAATGTTGTCAGAAACAACATATAAAAAGTTACCAACTGTAGAGTGTACGCTAAATTATTTATTTAACAAATTAGTTGCAAAATTACATTATTGCAAAATATATAAAAAAATATAATTTTCTAGAAAAAAATATCTGCGCCATTCGAAAGAACAGGTAATTTTACATAAAAAATGTTAATAAAGTTTTTCCACGGTCGGGAGTAGAAATCAGTTTCTACACATCAAAATTAAAACAGAAGTAGTCGATTATTCCCAAGGGGGTATAATGCTCCCAAGGGAGTTTACATTATGGAGAACGTTTTTCATGCAAAAAAAAGATAACATTGAAATTATTTATTGACATTTAAATTAAATGTTACATTTGTACAATTTTCAAAATTAATATTAGAAGGAATATTACTTTCGCTTACATTTACAGTTTTTGTGATTGCGCTAGTAGTGGTACCTACTAAAACCTGATTAGCAATTTTGGTCTTATTTTCAATGGAGTTCTCGACATAACCCTCAGCGACTGTCGTTGATTTCCAACCAGCATGATGCTTTATTGTCGTGATATCCACACCAGCATCTGCCAGTAATGTCGCTGAAGATCTTCGTAAGCAGTGACCAGTATAACATGCAGCATCAGGTAATTTTAAATACGAAGCTACTACACTCGGAATTTTTCCCATGGTATTCTTGCCAACTGGCTGCGAACTACATTTTCCTGCTTTGTAGTACAAAAAAAGGCGCTTATGCTTGACGTGGGGAGGACGAAGGGACAGGTATTTTCGAAACAATTCAAGCATATTTCCCACATCGGTAACCACAAAGGTTCGTGGAATCTTTGTCTTAGTGTTTGGAATTTTTACAATCAAGGAAGAGCCTACATCCTCAATATCATCTACAGTTAAATTGACTAGTTCATCAGTTCGACAAGCTCCGGCA